TCTCCCTCTGCCACTTTACAGCTAACAGGGTGAAGGAAGAGCCAGGGAGAGCACAAGCAGAAGTGCATTTGCTTTCACTCTCCGCTCTTCTAGGAATAAGGAGACATCATGGGAAACAAAAAGGGTGGAAAGGCAAGAGAGGATGAGCAAAGCTGTCTCTCCCTAATTCAGTCCTCCTTTGAAGACATTGATTATAAATGAACTGAGAGGTATTTTCTTTTATTGCTTTAAGCTTTATTCTTTAAGCACTAACAGGGTTTGATCCTGGGGAACAGAAAGCAGGTCAGTTACCTTACAAAAAAGAATTCAAGCCTCATTTTCTGAAACCAAAACTCTCATGGTCTTCAAGGGATACCAATATGCCTGTTTACATTTAACTTGACTAGAACTGCAAAACCTATTTGCCTCATCTCATGGCAAATATTTTCAGTGCTTTTTAATATCAGTGTAGCAGATATGGAATCTTTCCCACATTCCAGTACCACAGTTCTGAAGCTAACCTGCCCTGCATCCTTGCTGCCCCTGTCTGGATGCCCCACATGTGCCTTTTTTTTCTGACCATGCCTCTAGTGCTGGAACAGCAGAGCAGAGCAACGCAACTTCAAGAAAAGCATTAGCTGTAGGTTTGGCTCATCTCAGCTTTGCCATAGCCTCCCCAGAGGCCTTCTGCTCTTAGGAGAACATTTTGCATTTCATGTTTCAGTTGTAGAGGTGTTTTCAGAGCTTTCTCTGCCTCTTTTTGTCAATGATTAAAGGTAACTGGATGTAGGTGAGTTTGCTTTAAATCCAATAGCAAGCTTGTTTTATTTTGTGTCTTTTACATAATAGCTTCCAAGCACCAGGACTAACTCATAATTCATTGCACACTGCACTCACAAATGTATACTTTCAGAGTAGAACTACCAGGAGACTTTTTGATTTCAAAGGGGAAAAGATCATGATTGCAGAAAAACCATGGGTCATCACTGGATGTGGGACTGGAAAAGAATTTTTTTCCAGGGTGTTTATGTATGTTTTGTTTGGTTATTTGTTTGCTTTACATATAATCCCATAGCAGTGGGTGGTACTCACATCATCTCCACAAACAAATGATCTGGAAAGCAACCTGGTGTTTAATTTCCTTAACCCGTCAAACCCTCCTTACCTCATACAGCAGTATGCCAATCTGAAACCTCGACTCGATATTCTGAGTAAATGGGGGGAGGAAGGACAAACTGTAGGATTTTCTTTCCCACTTTTGTTAAAAGGCAACCAAGCATGACTCTTCCTACCCTGACTAACCTGGGTAGATGCCAAATGGATTTTTCCTTTCTCTAGGCAATGGCTCAGGAATTTCATCCGGCTAGAGCTGAGGCTGTGGCCTTCTCTCTGGCCTTTTCACTCCAGCCTCCCCTTTCTCCACAGTTAATCCCATCTTTCTCCCCACATCCACAATTAGCTGGACTGTACTGGTCCTTGACAATCAGCTTACAACGGGGACTAAATTCTGCCTTTTCCTTCTGGAAACAAAGAGACGTGCCTGAAAGAAAAGCTTCCAGCCACTCATGGAAAAAGAAATTCAAATCCTGAGGCAGCATCTATGGGAGAAGAATGCATGGCTGGCCAAGAGAGTGCTGACCTGGCTCCTTAAAAAATAGATTACTTTTATGTAGTTCCCAATATTTAACATGGATAGCTAAGCTTAACAAAACATGTTTCTCAAAAATACTGAAAAGTACAAAAAGGAAAATTTGATGTGCTCATTGATTGGAGTCTCTTAACCACTTTGGGTTTTGTGCCCTACAACAAATGCCAGGGCACAACATATCTGGATTTACCACAGTAAATAAATACCCTACCCTAATCCTGTAACTGCACAATGGTTTTCTATATCAACCAAAATACTTAATTATCACTGTTCTTCTTACGGAGCAGAACTACTGTAAGTACTTCAGGGGCTTCTTCTGCCTAAATTATACCTTTCTTCCTCTTATTTTCTCTCAAACTTGTTCTCTTTGGAAAAAGAAAAAAACCCAAACAAATAGATTAGCTGAGTTGTACCTCACCACCCAAATTATCTCCTCTTCTGAGGAGTAAGAAATTAAGAAAGCATACAATTTGTAATACTCTATGTTGCTTTTGTAATACTCTATGTTACTTTTTTAATAATCAGTGTTACTATACTTTAAAATCTCTCCAAGTATTGAGGAGCTAAAGTTGGCTCTATGTGCCTGTGACCTGGGATGTTAAGATTCAGTCAGTGTAGCCTGACTCTGGCGGGAGAGCCCTGGCATGCAGACCCAGCAGCAGCAACTCAGCCACTGGATCCTGCCTGGCAGCACTCTATCAGCATGAGCATTTCCCAAACAGAAGAGCCTGCACTTGCTGAAACAAACCTCACTGGAAAATGGCAGCTGAACCCTAAAGCAAAGAAAGCACTTCTGAGCCAAAGCCTTCAATTTCACCTGACAGGCTATTACACTTCTTACTCTCAACTGCACTCAGAAAACTCCAAGGATTTCCTGATTCTCAAAAGCATAAACAAGTTTCACTTTCTCTTTCATTTAAAAAATCTCAGGTTTTCACTTAGCATCTAGCAGCATCTAGCCTGTGCTGTTAGATTCTGGGTAAGTTTTCACCATTGGTAAAGTATTTTTTTAGAGGGTCAGGTGTCCCCACTCCTTTCTTTCATGTGCTTTCTGTTCTCCTCTCCCCAGGAATACTGACTAGTCTTTAAAAGAAAGATGGTGTTTTCACGGCCAGTTCTGGTGAAATTTGCTTTACACTTGAGCACATTTTAATATAGCATCGCTTCCCAAAAAGTAAAACCATAGAAGGAATACCACTACCTCTCGGTGAAACTCATAGCAACTTCAACAAATAACATTAGTTCCTCCACCACCCCAACTTACGCTCAACATCACATTTTCACTGCAAGTTCCTAAAATACACTATACCTTTAAGGATGGTAGAGGTACTTATTCATTGTCTACTATTTCTTTTTCACACACAAATTGAGTACACATTAGACCCCTGCCAATTTCGTTTCCAATAGCACAGGAAAAATAAAACTATAACAAATTGCTTTTATTGCTTCCTTAAACAAGAACGGACACTTGTCCAAAAAATCATGTGAAAGATTAACTTTGATGACTTGACCTTTTGCCAGGTACAGGGAGAGTATAATATAGCAAAAAGTTAAATGTGTATTAATAGAGGAATAAGCAACTGGGCATTAAAAGAATGCTTGATTTTAACAGCATAAAGTGGGTTAATTCGTTCATTGATTGCTTGCACTAAAAACAAGGCAGATTTTCAATGGAAATAATACATTACTTATTTTATATTAAGTTGTCTCCCAGCTCTAGGTTCATCGGGCCTGATTTGACCAGCGTCAAATGCAGTAATTAAGCATGGCCTTGAAGAAAGTTTCATTTATCTGGCACAAGAGTTATGAGTACATCAGGGAATCACTTTCTATGTTTGTCTCCCCTTTTCTATGTTTTCTCCCCTTAGGATGTCACACTGCTTCTTCTGGAATCACCAGGAACTTTGCAAAGGGCTTAAGAGGAATCAGGGCCAGATTTTACGGGTCACATTGTTTTTGGCTGGACAAACTGACCCTTCTGAGTGACACCTGTGGCTCTAAAAAGCATTGTCTTTACCTAACCAGGGCTTGGCTCAGCACAGGGGACACTTGTGGGGTAGGAGAGCCTGTGGGCCCACTAATGCAGGTGTGGTCAAGATGCTTTGCCGTTTGGCCAGTGCTGGGAGCAGGGATTGGCCACCATCCCTCGGCTGCTGCCCCAGGTGTGGCCTTCTCTGATCAGCTGACTGAACCTGGGGGCCAACTTCAGCACCAGGTTAGGTCAGCTCATGAGCTCAACTTTCAGTGGCTGTTGCACCTGGGACACCAAGATTAGCATTTGTCCCTGCATCCTCTATGGGGGAGGCAGGTACGGGCTTTAATGCAGATAAAACACAGCATGCTCCTCCACTGCCACCGGCCTCTTATGTAGTTACAATGAGAAAAAAAAAAAGGTGTTGTTGTTTCAAAGTCTAGCCTTGTGTCCCGACTCTCCACAAATACTTCCATTTAGCCAAATGATAGATTTTACTTAAGTACAGACCAGAAGAAAGGTAAATGCAAGGGAGAGATCTATCTACTTATCTGAAACTCCCTTTTCAAAAGCCACGCATGAATCTCTTTTAAATGTATTACAATTCATCCTCTGTTTACTTTAGGCAAACAGAAAAACTCATCATGGAGCACTCATTTTCACAAGCTAATCAAGAACATTAGGTCCCAAAAGATTCATTTAACAGAAATATAATAGGCATTCCTGCTTGCTTTTAATCTTGCCTAGCTGCAAATGCTAAAATGAACAGCAAATTAACCCTGCCTTGGAACAGAGATTCTTTCACAGCTGATATCATCTCTCTTATGGCTTGTAAATACTCCAGGCTCCCTGTATGTAAGCTTTCCCAGCTTTCACTCTTTCCCCACAGCAGAGAAGAGGAGTGGAGAGGAATAGAGAGGAGAGGAATGGAGAGGCGAGGATGCTCTGGATGGCATGCAGCTATGAAGGGGTGAAATAGGTGAGCGCTAAAGGGAGGACTGCCTGCCAGCAGAACAAAATGCAGCACTGCCACCCAAAAACAAGACAAAGCTAAAAGGTGGATGGGAGAGTGAGTTTTGGGGGAGCTCAGGGGGGAGGAGGGGCTTTTCGTGCATCATCAGCCACTCCCTGCATGGCTCTCCCTGATTTACCAGTGCAAGACAAGGTAGTATGACAAGGCCATTCACGTGCTGACATCAAATATATGAGATTTTTCAAGCAATTTGAGATTTTAAACTGTTTACGGATAGCAGAACTAGCATTAGAATGCTAAACAGAAAAAAAAAAAGAACCTATCATATTTCATAATGTATGTCATAATGAACAAAAGCCTTTATAAAAAAACGGTTTTCACTGTGCTAAAGTAACAATCTAGACTTGTTGTAAGTATGTTATTCTTACAAGTAGTTCGCAGTTATTCTTGAAGGCAAGTCTTGGAGTTTCCTTAGCATAGTGCTGCTGGGGAAAATTTTCAGCATGTCCATCTTCATCTCTAGCCTGAAGGGAAATATAATGGCCTATTTAGGGACTTACAAATAATGGAAGGAAAAAAATAGCTAAAAGCATAACAGCTCAGATAATTAAAACATACGGGAATCCCAAAATACAACATTATTAAAAAGTTTCTTTAAATACTCAGTACACCTTTTAGATATGAGAAGTTGGGATGCTGTTTTCTTACATAGCTTAGGTTGAACATGCAAATTCATTGTGGTGTAATAATTAAAACAACAAGAGACAAACCCAAAATGAAATATTTGAGCTGAAAACTGTGAGTAATTCAGGGTTTCAATTTACTCCATTGCATTTTTCAGGATTACATTACATATGTACTCGTTTAAACTTTTTGACATGCTTAAGCGATCCTTAGATAATGTACTTGTATTTTCAGTTTAACAGCAAGGCCAAAAAAAAAAAGTTTTCATACTCATAATTTACATGTAACACTATTATAAATAAATTGATTCCCCCTCCGTGTTTAAGTGAAGCTTTGAAAGGAGCAATCATTTAGAGAGAACAATGATCCTTCAGTCCCATGCGATCAAAATATTTAATGACAAAGATGCATTAAAAGTTACTGGTTATTTGGAACTACACTGTTATTAAGAAAGTTGAAGTTCAAATGGAGACATTACCAGAGCCCATTAGCAATCCTGCTTGCAAATAGTATTTTTCCCTTCTCATCCAGAGCGTTTTCTGCTTTTGAGTTAAAGCAAAAGGGAGAAGCAGGTGAAAGGAGGAGTGTCAGCAATACGCTCATTACACTGTTCATTTGAGTGACACTTGCACTCCGTTCCGCTCCATCTCATCTGATTCCTGACTGTTCGCTCTCTCCCTCTCACAGCCTCCCTAAATTCACAGCTGAGCTGTCTCCCTCACATATGGCTTGCATATAATTATGCACATTCTATTTTACACTGCATTAAAATGATGAGCTCCTGGCTCCCTGCCAACCTATTTAAATCAGCCCCTGCCCAAAGAAGCTGGGGGAGAGGAGGAGGGCAAAGGCAGCGTGACCAGATCAGGGGCAAGGGGAGAAGGCAGAGGCAACGGGGTCAGGAGCAGGTAGTACTGCTCCCCCATTCCTCCTGCTATCCCATATGTGTGTCCCCGGGGGGAGGGAGGGAGGGGCAGGGAGTCCAGGGATGCCCAGGTGCAATCCAGGCACACCTCGGTGGTTGTGGCAGCGCTGGCATATTGTTCGCCCCTCGCTCAGCGTGAACTGCCTGTCGTCGTGTGTCACACACCCGGCGCCCAGGCTTTTCAGTGTTGGCATTTATGAAGGATATTTACACCTTGTAGGCTCTGTGATTTGTTTGTCTTCAAACAGGCTTCTGCCTCTCCCCGAGGAGACGGGGTGGGAAAGGGGAGACATGGGCTAACAGCACTGTTGATTTTTAAGAAAACATGAAGGGTCTGCACCTCAGTGAAAGCCCCTTGACTCCAGCAGGCTTTGACTCAGGCCTCTGCTTGTCAGCCATGGGGCATGAACACAGTTTGCCCAACAGAAAATACCATTTTTGGCAGTGCAAAATTTGTCGAAAAGTGTATTTTGAGAAGCACCTATAACTGACGATTACTACAAGAAGCAGGAAGTGGGACACTTTATCAGTTTATTTCTGTATGTTTCCTAGCAGTTTATAGGTATTTTCTCTCACTGCCCTCAATAGCTGCAGGTTAGAAAATGTTTAAAATTTTTCTTTAAAACCACAAGAAAGAGGCAGAGGATTCCTGAGCACCCGAAATCACTTTTATATTGACAAAGGTTTAAATGTGTTCTTCTAATTATTCATTTGAAACTGAAACCTCTCTTACACAATAAATCTACCTCCATGCTGTGTGGAATACAAAGACTAAATCTGACTGTGTTTTATATTAAAAAAAACCCAAATTCTCATTTTGAAAACAAACTTTGTCCTTTCCTTTCCTCCATAAAGGAATATGGATAACTCACTGAAGTTTTTTCAGGTCATGTAGAAGACAACTGGGGGATGAATGCCTTAAAAACGCCTTGCCCAAATAGAAACAGACCAGTCAGCTCGGGATCACAGATGCCAATGGGATGCTTGGTGATGGACAGCTAGGGAGATATTGGTGGGGCACAGGTGTTGTGTAGGGCTCCACATGCTGTTGGTGCTCCCAGACCCCTGAAATTCTATCTTGGCACCATGCTAGACACTGTGTGTGTGACGGCTGGCACACTGTACCCTGCCAGTGACCCTCTGGAGCATTATCTTGGTGCATGCACACACCTTGTAAAATGAAATGGGTATCAGGGTGTTTGTAGCGCATGTGTCAAAACACAGAGACAAACCCCACTGACTTTGACCTGCTTACCAAAATTGCCAGTTACACAAAGGTTATTCAACCCTGCTCATGGCAACATGCCTCTGTTCCTACTGATCCAAACACTACTTTATTTATTTTGGATGTCACTAAAATTTCCTAGTCTCAAAACCTCTTTAGCTACATACTGCTATAATTTACTCAGGCAGTAGAAATACACCTAATTTATCTAGCTAGTTTCCATTGCAAAAACACCTATTCTGAGCAGCCAGGGAAAATTCTTCAGTTGCTTTACATTAATTCATTACTACCATCTTCCAGTTGTAAACAATTTGCAGAAGAAAACACTTCTACAATGTTCAGCACCGTTCTACACGTATTAAAGAACTGGCTTGGAGTTTATCTTGCAATTGTTATATTGTGATATGCCTGTGCCTACACTGACCCACTCTCAGTCATGACTGCCTCAGTTCCCCAGCATCTCGAGTTCATTCACAGTAGGCTGGCATCTACAGCTTTGCCATCAGGCTTGGCTGCCATGGGATGCTATTGTTTAAAAGGAAGCAACTGCAAAAAAACCCAAGCCAAATCTGTGATCACTCTTATTTTTTAAAACGCTTTAAAACTGCTAAAATCATTATAGAAATGCTCTTATCAAAAAATGTATGTCCAAACTGCTAGATGTGATTGATTGCATATATGTAATAGGTAGTACAACTGCTCTCACAGCACATTTTGTTCCAGGACAAAAAAGGCTTTAGCTCATGTTTTGAGGCCTGGAGCCATGGTTAGTGCTGCTAGTTTTATCAGTGCAAAACTGCTGCAACTTCACTGTGGCAGTGCCTCTCCTGGGATTTACTGAATCTCCTAATTCAATACCCGCTACTGACAGGCAGCCGCCTTCCTCTCAGCTGCATGGGATCTGAGAGGGAAACCTGCCCATTGCCAGCCCCTGGGACACCAGGCTGGACATTTACAAAAGCAGCAGCACACAGACCACCTCAGCTACTACAGCCAGAGCAGAGCACGTTGCCCAAGAAGCAGTGTGGGCAAGGAAGATCTAGTGAGGAAACCGCAGCTGACTTGGTGGAGCTGGTTCGGCTGTAAGGTCCGCCTGATGATGGGTTGCAAGGGAAATCATGGCCTTTAATTGCAGGTTAGATATCAGGAAACCCTTCTTAATGACAGGTATAGCAAAGTGCCAGGGCAGATTGCCTAAGGAGACTGTCAGAGCCCCATCACTGGATTCTCTTAAGAGCAGATTAGCCAAACATCTGCCAAGAATGACATGCACTGAGTAGCTCCTGATGTGGGGAAGCTGGACAGATGAGAACATCTCCTTTCCTAGGTCCCTTTCTTCTCTGCTTTCCACCACTGAGCTTTGAAAGAAAATGGCAGGAGGTTAAGGGGAAAAAAAAAAATAAAAAAAAAAAAAAAGAACAGAAAACAGGATCTGAAAGGACCTCTGAAAATAGGACAGCATTTGATGTTCAGAGATATGTGTACTCATTAATAAGTGCATGATGACAACTATCTTTGGCTACAGAAACTGTGCTATTTGTCCATAAGCCAGCCAGCCTACATTTGTGAAAGATGCCAATAGTTTGGAAACAAACTATATATTCAGTCAAGATTCCTTTTTTTAACACAACAGAGGAAGAACAATCTACAGCAGAATTTCCTTCTCTCCAAAGTGTGTGGATATTTTTTTCTCCTTATTCTCAGAGAAAAATTATCTTGATCCAGACAGAGGATTTCGGAGCTCCAGTGTAAGTCTTTTTATGTAGCTTTAGCCTTGGGAGAGGAAATCTGTGCTTACATTTTAATATTAAGGGCAAGATCTCATGATAGGATAAGTCACAAGGCAGGTTGAACCAAATAATTTATTAAGATGGAACTTGTTAATGCAAAGCTTCCACTAAAATGGGACAATGCATGTGCAATGAAATCCTTCTGCTTAGTCCACAAAACTTTAATGCCACTTAACCAAAAACACCTAACATCTATTTTCTAAGAGCTACAGTCACTTGAGTAACGCAGAGTGACAGAATATTAGCCTGCTTACTCAGGATAAAATTGCCACCTACTTTCCATAAATGTCCTTTAAAACAGATGAAACATGAGACCGTTACCCCCAGACACGCTAAAGGCAGGCATCAGTTGAGTGTCTCTGGTAGGACAAAAAAATAAGCTGCAAGGAGTTGAATAGCGTTGCTACAGAAGTGCAGATAACTGCGTCAAGGCTCCTGTCCTACAGCGATGAACAGAGGAAGTTCACATCACCCTTAATACTGCTGTCTCTCAAGGCTGGCTGCAGATGGGAACTGGAAGCTGTGTTTCCGTTTCCACCACAAAGGTTATCTCTCCCTTCACTGAAACTCGAGGGAAATCCTCGGGGAGACCCTAATCCTTGAAATTTTAGTTCCTGTGCATTTCTGTTGTCCCAGATAATCAATTATCATGCTCTCTACATTCACTATACCAGCAACAGCAAAAATAATACTAAACTTCCACCTGCTGGTATTCTTCCCAGAAACATGAACATACTTGCTGTGGGCTGGGTGGTGGGGGAGCCTAACATCAGGGTGCTGCCTGGTGGTTCTGCGCTAGGAATAGAGCAGGGCCAGGGAAGATGGTCCAGAGAGGACGTCCCCTGGTTCAGCAATCATGTAGTTACAGGAATGAATGAACTCTCAGCTCAGGGAAAGTCT